TCATTCAGTGATTTATCTTATTCGATTTGTTTTTTATTATGGAAGTTTGTTTTAGTTTTACTTTTTACTACAGAAGATTTTAAATTCAGCATTATAGAAAAAAATCTGGTTTTGCCCTTGAAACAGATATATAGACCTTGCAATGTGAGTGGTTCAACGGATAACTGTTCAATGAATGAACTCATGGTACCAGAGGAGATGGGAGGAGGAGACAAAAAATACCACCTTGGCTCCCATTTGAATTTGTGATTTTTCCTATATTCGATACTAAAGCTCTCTTGTCAATAGACCAGACTGCAGACAAGATTTGGGATGTTGAACAGGAGTCTTGAGATAAATCTTTCTTAGAAAGCTTGGATTAAACTTTTTAGTATTGATAATATAACAGTGAAATTCATTTATTCATTCATTCAAGAATTTTAAAAATCATTTATCGAGCAGTCACAGTAGCAATAGTAGTAGTAATAATAAGCAATGCCAATATAGAATTTATGTTGTGCTGAACTGTATGCTGTGTTTTGTACTGATTATCTCATTGAATCCTTACAACAGCCCTAAACTAGCCCTATTATACAGATGAGATAAAGTGAGGCACAGAAAGTCACATAACTTGCCCACATTTTCCCAACAAGTAAATGAATTCTAAATTGAATCGAAGTAAGACTCCAGAATTCCACATTCCCCACTACTCCAGGACCCCGCAGTAGACATTGTGGATACCCAAAGATAAAAGATGGTGTGGTTCATCTTCTCACATGGATTACAATGTCAAAAACCCAAAGACTATAAGAGTGGGTCATTCAGGCTTTCTTTCTACAGATGAGAAATCAAGGCCAGTGGGGGCAGCAATTTACCCAAGGTCATACAGCACCTGTATGACCTGTAGGGCTGAAACAGCTTTAGAATGCCCCCACGTCATGTTGATTCTCATGCCGATTCTCTTTTCACTCACTACACAGAGCCTAAAAGCCCCACTTACTGAATGAACTACTAGATCCACATAACACTTTGTTATTATCACTAAAGAATGATGAAACCACATGGAAATTATTTTGAAGTATGCAAATTTATCTTCTTAGAAATAATCCTTTTAGAAAACTTTCAAACTGACTTAAATTGCTAAAGCGGCACATGGATCTTGTTCTCATGAAAAATAAGCACTAAAATTGAATTGAGTTTAGTTTAAAGTTGGCGTTGGGTCTCTCACCTTCCTGCCACCCGGAGTTTCCAATTATCATTCAGCCCCATCTTGTTTCCTGCTTTGAGGCCTTTTGACAGGTCATTACTAAGTTATTACACAACTGGAACAAAAGCAAGATAGAATCAAAAGGATGTTTAGAGCTGGAGTGACATCAGCAACAGATTCAACCTGTCTATTGTCAGCTTGAGAAAAGGCAAGTCTGGAAAGCAATGTAATACAACAGAGCTGCCTAAAGAATGGGGCAGACTGGGCAGAGGTCACAGTTGTGTTCTGGAGTCCTGAAGAATGGCACCGAGTGTACTATTTAAACACTTTGAACCTCAGAATCCTTGTCTGCAGAATGGAGAAAGTCATAATTCCTCTTTTACTATTTTCTTCAGGATTACATGCAATGAAATATATTCCATGGTACCTGGAACATAATATGCATTCAATAAACATAGCTAAAATTTTCACAATTTAATCCTAATTCTGTTCCCTTGTTCACATGCTGATTTTCTCATCTATACAGTGGATGTTTTCCTTTTTGTCTGTTACAAAGTAATCTAGTGAACACAGTGGAATAATGTTCCAGATCTCCATCCTTTGAGCTTCAGCTCAAATTCTGTTACCTCAGGGAAGCCTTCAGCACCTGCCATAGAGGGAATGAATGGTTCCCTCTTCCAGACTCTCTCACTCATGCCTGTACCTTGATCCAGCCTACATCTCACTTTCTCCTATATTTGATTGTATTTTGCTTATGTCTGTTGCACACATTATTTGAGGTGAAGGGTAGTTGCTTTTCACCCACAGCCCCAATAACCTTATAGAGAGTGGACAGTCAGCAAATGTGTGAACCTTGCCCTGGTGCATTTTCAATAACTCAGTTGTTATGTGCATAGAAAGTATTTGAGAATTACAGTTACAGAGTTGAACTGACTTAAGAAGCAGTGAGGATTTGTTGTTGTTGTTTCCCCCAGGGCAGGAGGGGAGGGGATGGAGCAAGTGCAAAAAGAAAAGCAAACATCTAGCCTCAGCATGAAGACACCTGCCGTTTACACAAGATATTTCTGTCAGAGGTCAAAGTACTCCACAACTCTGTTGTCCTTGTGGCAATCGCAACAACAACCTAAGAGCCAGGTAGCATTCTCTCATTTTACTATTGACAGCTCCAGGGAACAACAGAAGTGAGCAGTGCATGTTCAAGCTCTGAGGCCCATGGGCCATCTGTAGACAGAGCTCCTGCTTGCTAGCCACATGGATAGTGAGCAGTATTCCCTGAGACTGGTTGGGGGACTATTAGGCTCTTGGGCCCTTCTGGGCCTCGTTTTTGTGTTTTTTTTTTCCTCTCTGAATGGTAGGAATAATCATGTTCTTAGAACATTACAACTACTAGTAGAAATGAGAAACAGATTACAGAACAGGTTGAGGTAGTGCTGGAGGAGCACACTCCACAGCAGAGGTAAGGCAGGTTCTTTGTGCATGATAAATATAACAATAGATACTATTGCTTAAGGATTTACTCTGTGTAGGGAACTTTTCTAAGCACTCTATGTATCACCATTCAATTCTTAAAACAACCCTATGAAGTAGTCCTGATTTTACAGAGGAAGAAACTGAGGCACAGAAAATTGAAGTCAAAAACCACACAGCTAGTGTCAGACCCTGGAATGGTACCCACATGTCCGATGTCTTCCTATGGCCAACTCTTTAATTTTGTGCCTAGCACAATGTTTTGCATATAATAAGTGCTCAATACAAATTTGCCTGGATTGGAGTAAATCTAGTAAAACTTGAGAAGTCTCTCCCTTCTTCCCCTCCTTCCATCTCCTCCTGTAGCTCCTCCATTAAGTTTGAATGGTGTTTCTCCAATTGGGAGCTACAGACTCTTGAAGATGCCTTAATTTAATTTTTTTTTTATGATACAAAATGAATAAGCACCTCTGGGTCATTGGTTCATACCAAGTACTGCTTCCTGATGACAGGGCCTGTATGTACTAGTCTTTGACATCCAGAGTTACCACTTTACTGGTTATGCTAATAAGAAACAAGCAGCACAAAGTTAATCCCTACATAATGTATTAGAGTCAAGTGAAAGCCAAACATTACAATAACATAGGGTGTGAGCAAAAGAGGTGTGCTAGATGAAACAAACAGGTAGACAGTTGAGTCAGCTTGAGGGCCCCATTTATGAGAGTGGTGGAGCCACAGCGAACCCAGGGGTACCCACAGCTCATCCTCAGCACCATGTGATGCTGGTAGTAATCCAGGAAGCATTACTAATTTAGACATTATCTCTCTGGAAGGGAATTTTTATATTTAATTTATAAATTTGTTTGCGTTTTATTTGTGAGTTGTTCAAAAGCTGTAACATAAGTTTATATCTGGTTTTATGTCTATAAATAGTAATGCACCATCTTAAAAGAAAATAATTTAAGCCAAGACAGGGGAGGTCTAAGAAAATGTTACCTCTAAAATGGCGGAAAATATCAGTTTCCTTTATATTTAAGAAACAGTACACAACAATGTGCTCAGGGCTTTCCTATTTAAAATCAATTGCAAACACCTAATTGCATTAGGTGTGACATTAACATCTTGGTGTGAAATAGTGTTAGACCCTCCCTTCCTGAGAGTGGGCTTTGATAGAAAAAAAGAAAGCTAAGAGGCCTCCTGGGAAAAGCATGGCTTCTGCAAAATCTTGTCCTACCACTCAGTAGCTGTGTCATTAAACATCTCAATCTGTGAGAGTAATCTCTGCACCTTCTTTACAACGGCTGGTCACAGAAGGTGCTCGATACACGGTCATCTCTATTAAATACTTGGGAGCGGTAATCTCTATTAAATGTTTGGGAGCGAACAGGAAGGCTCTCGCGCTAACGAGGTCCTTAAACGGTGAGGTCGCCAGGCAGGCCAGGAGAGGACCCCGCGGTGTGGACCGCTTGTCTCCCGGAAGCACGCCCACCGGGTGAGGCGGTGGCTCCACCAGCTGGTGCCCCGGCGAAGGGCTGGGGCCGGGGGCTCGCCAGCCAGCTTGCCGCTCAGAAGCCGCCGAGCGCCTGCGACGCTCGGGCCCACGCACGCACTGGGGACGCGGAGCACTGGTGACCTGACACAGGATGCGGGTTTCTGCTCCTTGTGGGCACCTGAAACACGGCGAGAAGCGGGAAGGAGCTCGATCATCACTCTAGAGCGCCCAGCATGTACGTGAGGTGGGAGCGCACGGGTTTTGAGCCAGCTCCCCAACTTGCCCGGGGATCCCAGGTGTGGCCGG